ATTTTGCCGCTTTTTGAAGGAAATTTCAGAAATTTCCGCTTTTTTGACGATGCGGGGCACGCATTCTTACTTCCATTTGTATATGGGTTCGCCAGATGGGTGGCATTTGAATGCGATGTGGGCCTATACAATGACTTGCGGGGGCCAGCCGATGTTCAAGTCAGTGTTTTTTATCCTCCCAGACAAGTCTGGTACCAATTAACCGACCCCGGAGGGATGGAAGGCTTGGTTGGCCCGGGCGACTCACGACCAGAGCAGGGCGGAAGTGGTGTAGTGACAAGTGGCGCGCTTACCACGCGAGCGGTCCGGGGATCAAATCCTGGGTCGTGAGTCGCCCGGGCCAACCAAGCCTTCCATCCCTCCGGGGTCGGTTAATTGGTACCAGACTTGTCTGGGAGGATAAAAACACTGACTTGAACATCGGCTGGCCCCCGCAAGTCATTGTATAGGCCACATCGCATTCAAATGCCACTGCGAATGTACAAATGGAAGTAGAATGCGTGCCGCATCCCAAAAGGGATTGATCAACGGCAAATGCTTTATCCTTTATGCTTTATCTGTCGAATCACCCGCCTTCTTAGGTCTCCCAGTATGTCGATTATAGGTTGGTTGATCAGACCCTTATCTGAAGGTGTGTAGCGGTATTTTGGGGAATACATAACATTTGGACTATACATCTTTATTACTTATTAATGATAGAAGGAGAGAAGGGTGAGAAAGGGGGAAGGGGGAGTGAGTGCCGGCTGACGACTGACGACCGACGACTGTCCGTTGGCTGGTGACCTCTCCTTAAGTACTGTCCTCCGTGTGAGGAAACGACCCATGGCAGTTGCTCAGGATACCGTAATCCTGAGCCGCCTGTCCAACGACTGGACGGCCGATACGAAGTTATACGCTGTGACATATATACATACATTAAACCTAGGCCCTTTATCAGGACAATCCCAGCTGGGAAGACAGAGAAAATTTAAAGGGATTTTCGTCCCCCAACCCCTAGGGGAAGGATTGAATACCGCCCCTGGATTACTAAAATTCTCCAGCAAAGGTTTTAGCCTCCAGGAAAAGTTCAAGCATCACAAAAGTGGGCTTCCCCGTCTGGTCTCTATCGGTCGAGAAATTTTCTGGAACTCTGCTAGTCAACAGGCAATCGCGTTCTCAACGACGGACGGACTGAAGCGCTCCAGCGACATCGCGCTGCGTGTCGCGCGCGACACCGTTCTTTGCGACGCGTTGTGTTCCGCCGCCCATGGAGGTGGCTGTCACTGCTTTTGCTTTAGTACCTACTTCAGGTTTTGTTAACGTATTGATCCACCTTTGCCAGAAGTTACGCTCTAGTCAATCTCTATTGCCGTGGATCTGTTATGGCGTCAGTAGGAAGGGGCTTACAGTGACTTAATCTTATCATTTCAGGACAGTTTTCGTCACAATAGTACCATATACTTTCTGTCTACACTTCTCAATCGCCCTTTTTCACCATGAATCGGATGCGGGCACGTGGAAAGGAACACGACCCGGCACTGAGTCCATCCTCTCCGCTTCCTTCAGCTTCATCCAGTAATCTTTAATCTTTCTCCGATGGATCATCACCATGCAGAGGAAGGTTGAGTGACCTTATCGACCTACTTCTGGTAGAACATTTCTTCGGTCTTGTTTTATAACGATCAGGGTTCTTTCATTTACTGTACTCTGATATGTGGTCCCAACTGTATGGTTGTACTGGTTGCGGTTGTCTTAATATGGGTTTTATGTTTGTGTGATGATTCTCGCCAGGGATCTTTGAACAAAACCGGGATCTACTGAGCAAATCTCGGCGCCGGGAAGTATTACATACAGCTTTGATTGGATGTCTAGCTAAACTTGAAATGGAAACCTTTAGTACCAATGGGCTTTTAGTTGATATG